GTTATATTTCCTGAATTATGGGAACTAGTTCCCAAACTAATGAGTATCCCCAATTAAAGCAAAGAATAATGTTATTAACTCTCTTTCCTGTTGCACTATAAATATTTATTTTTTACATTGCTAGTACATAGACAAAAAAGTTAATTATTTCTATTTAAATGTATGTCTTGTGGTTGGTGGCTGTAGTTGTCTGAGGTGCTCCTCTGCACTAGAGGCAAAAAGAAAACATTTATTTTTCTTCACCCTCACTTTCACTATGATGGTGGCCAGCCTGTTGGACACGGTGGTTATCATTAATATCCAGCTCAGCTCCAGCCGGTACCGCGCTCCGCCTCGCTGGCTCAGAGTCCTTGTATTGCAATATCTAGCTGTTGTAGTTTGTCTTCCTCCAGAGAAAAAGAGCAATCGAGTCACTGTCTTCGTCAACCCATCTACTAAAGGTATATTATTATTATTATTGACATTAACTATAGAACTAAAGAATAAGACCTTATACAGTACACACATAATACATGCAGCAAAGGACCTGATTGCCGCTGCAGATACGATTCTTATTATGCAGTGCACAGTCTGTTGATCTACCGAGACGCCCCCTTCTCTTCCCCAATTCCTACCCCAATTATCAGTTACTGTTAGTTACCCATGTTGACCCCTTGACATTAAAATACTTTCAATCACAATAATAATATATGAATATCTTACATTAAAATCAATTTACAATAATATTTTCAGGTGTCCCTGTAGTAATACTAGGAAAACATTTGAACTGTTTGTGGTAACCTGGTAATAATTTTACACCTGCCAGTGCCAGCCAGTACTAACCAAGGTTCAGTTTAGATTTGACATTTTCAGCATAAGTTTTATATGATTAGTAAGTAGTCAATCTATTTTACATGCTTTAGAATTCAAACAAACTATTCTTTTTTATGACAGAACGGACAATTAATTCCAGCATCACCAACATCTCAGAGAGTCATCTTTCAAGCATAACTGCCAATACAACACCACTGAAAACCCCACCGGTCCCTCTGGATTCAGCCCTGCATGAACTGAAGAAGCTGAGCAGAGATCTCACGGCCATCTGCTTCCAGATGGACGAACACTTACAGGGGAACAAAACCGCGCAGGAATGGCAAATGATCGGAAGAGTTATCGACCGTCTGCTGTTCGGCTTTTACATTGTCTTCATCACTGTCAGCTACATCACCATCATATGTATTTGGATCTGGAATAACTGATATGTAGCATGATTTAATTAAGGGGTAGCTATCAGTAAATATGTTATTGTGAATTTAAGCTATTGATAAACAGTTCATCTTAAAAACGTGCTAGAAAATACGTAAATCGCTATGGCATTTAAATGTCTTTCAAAAAGCAAATCAACATCTTCAAGGGAAAAGGAAAACCTCAACCATAACTTAAAATTTGTAATAAACTCAGGTTTGCACATAGGACCTGTGTTTTGTGCTGTAAGTCTGAGATTTTACTTCTGATTATGGAGTTTTTAAAACGGAATAAAACCAAACCAAAAATGTTGCATTATATTCACAAGACGGTGCTATTGGTTAATTGTACAGTGTAACTGTTTGCATGGATGATGTTTAGTTAGATTTCATATATGGATCAAAACAAATGCATTACTACTAACTAGTAACTTACTTTACTAGTAACTTAAGTTATTAGTTAACTTAAGTAGCAGGCAACAGAACTAAGGCTGAGTAACTGGGCTATCTATCTCACACCTTACCTTACTTCCCCTTTTTGGTTGTAATGTATGGTTTTGTTGTTTGCCAACTATCATAATAGATATACCAATATCTCAAAATGTATTCAATGGTGATTTTTTAAAGTAAAAATATGAAAATGCACAGCACTCCAATGTTAGAAGAAATCTGAAGTGAATTTTTCTTTGAAAATCTGACTTCATAAAAAAATATAAATAAGAATAACATGTCCAAAGTGTGCCTAAAATCTTGAGGCGTTGTACCTGTGTCTCTTTCCAAGATCTCTATTAGACGTAGGCCAATCCACTATGTGGTGAACCTCCTGATCCCCAGCTCCTTGCTCATCACAGTGGACCTCTTCAGCTTCCTGCTGCCTCCCCAAACTGTGGACCGATCCTCCTTTAAGATGACCCTCATTCTGGGCTACACAGTTTTCCTGCTCATCATGAACGACCTGCTGCCCATCACTGGAGAGTCAACACCTGTCATCAGTGAGTGACACCTGTGATATTCTTACTTCTTTTATTCCAGAGAAAGTTGAAGGAACACACAATTCACTGTTGCACATGAGCTTCTGAAGCTACAAGCTTCATTTAACCACACACACTTGCATTTGCACTTGCAACATTTATTCAACTATTGAACAAATCAATGGCAATGTCAAAAAGGGAGGAGTGTTTCTTGATAGGGACTATTTCCTAGGTTGAGGAAGTAGTTTTGAGGTAGTTTTATTAAAGTTATTGGGGTTCAATGAGTGTGTAGTTCAATAAGTGTGTGTACATTATGATTCTGGTTATGGTGTGGTTCTTAAAATAAGACACGCCTCCGAGCAGATAATCTGAATCCTGGAACCTTTCAGAATGTCATGGAGATGAATAACAGGTTTCTCAAGTTTTAATGTGAATTATTTCTCAGAAGGCTCGCAAACACAATATAACTGAAAACTACATATGTTAGTAGAATGCATAGAAAGCAAATAGCACTTAAAGAAACAGTCACTGAATCCTCCCTGTTTTTGTTGTCGCTTTCTGCAGACGTTTTCTTCTGCATCACTCTCGCTCTGATGGTGGCCAGCCTGTTGGAGACGGTGTTTATCACAAAGATCCAGTTCAGCTTCAGCCGTAACCATGCGGTGCCTCAATGGCTCAGAGTCGTCGTGTTGCGATATCTAGCTATTGTAGTTTGTCTCCCTCCACAGAAAAAGAGTAACAGAGTCACTGTCTTCCTCAACCCATCTGGAGGTATATTATTATTACATTTTGGTAAATAAATCTCCCCCCCTGAAGTTCCATAATTAGTAACAGAAAATACTGTCGACTTAAGTTTTTAATTTTATTTCTTATTTATTAAGTTTATTTCTAAAACACAAACAATCTATGAGGTGGATGCAAAGAACATCTCTTTCTCTGCCAAGTCCATCATCCATTAATCTATGTGTTTCCAGTTTAACTAATGATCAGGTGTTGCAGTTATAGAGTTAACTGGAAACATACTGTAAAGAATGCAATGGTTCCCAACCCTTTTTGCCCAAAGTTCCCTCACAGATGTGCTCAGGTACCCAATTTTTCCTTTATGGAAATTGTTTGATAGTATTTCACCTTCACAAACCCATCCATGTGTATTGCTTAGAACTAAGGGCCAGGATAAACAAGGTTCAATTCAGATTTGAAGTATTCAGCATAAGTTTTATATGATTAGTAAGTAATCTAGCTATAGAGTTTAAACAATCTATTCTTTTTTATGACAGAACCGGCAAATGAGTTCCATCTTTCAAGCGTAATTGGTGATAAAACTCCACTGAAAACCCCACTGGTCCATCCGGATTCGGCCTTGCATGAACTGAAGAAGCTAAGCAGAGATCTCATGGCCATCCGCCTCCAGATGAACAAACACTTCCAGGGGAGTGAAACTGCACAAGAATGGCAAATGGTTGGGAGAATCACCGACCGTCTGCTGTTTGGCTTGTACATCATCGTCATTACTGTTAGCTTCCTCACCCTCATTTGTATCTGGATCTGGAACCATGTGGTAAACCACCATCACTAGGGGTAAGTTAGCAGTAAATATGTTATTGCGGACTTGGTGATGGGAAAACTGCCATGACCATCACTTGACCTCTGACCTCAAGATATCTGAATGAAAATGGATTCTATGAGTACCCACAAACATACCCACTTTATTTATTTAGTTTTGGGCAAAAACCATGGAGTTTTTTGCATGTGGTATAAATGTGTACCCAGTGTATTTGGATATTTTTGCATACACTATTGGAATTGTACAAATTGGGAATGATTGGAAAGCTGAGACACATACTTCATGCCACACCAGAATGAATGAGTCTGGAAACGCCCATTTTCAAGATAATCCAGCCCACACCGTTCAAGTTTACTGTCTCTTATTCTTATTAGGCTAATTATTATTAGGCTAAGAGGTTGAAGTTCTACTGAATTATTGATTATATTCACTAGATGGTGCTATTGGTTGATTGTTGGGGTTTTTGTACAGTGTGCATAATGTAGGCATGCAGGCACTTAATAACCTAAGTTACTAGTTACTTTGCAGAAACAATTATTAATATAAAATCTAGGTTAAGATAAGACATTATTGATCCCAGAGGGGAAATTCAAAAGCTAATTGTAAAAATTATAATAATTATATGGTATACATTATTCAACATGATGAATACTTTTTTGTTTATATGTATATGTATTTGTATTCAAATTTTGAATGGAAGAGTATTTGTCCACTATGATATTACAGTCCTGCCAGCCCAGCAGATATAATAGTTACTTAAAACATAAAGTTGTTCTTCTTTACAAATCTTATTGGGGAGAACTGGATTTCTTTCTGTATACAATGGCATTTTATAATTAATTTGCAACCAATTTAATAATCAATTAATGTTGTGTTGGTTTCATGTTATAGCTGATAATAAATTAATAATAATATATATATTATCACCTAATGTTGTGTGAGATCTTTTTATTAAGTTTTGGGTATGTGCCTGAACTCAATTTTAATCTCATCCATTAATTTCTATGGACCGGAACAATATTTCTTAGAGATAAAACTTGTAAATCGGTCAAATTTTAATTCCAAAAAATCCTGTTTTTGGTTCTCAACTGAGAGAATTTGCAGTTTTTGCTTGTTTTACATTAAAATAAACTCAATATCAACATTGAACTCAGAACATAATCTTAAGTTAGTTATTTGCAGCCCTGCTTTAGTTTACTAATTTCTTTATAAATGAAACAAAAAACAACAATAACTCTCATCAACAGTCTGGCCATTCTTTTATTGTCAACACAATTACAGAACAAAGGCAAATGAACACAAATAATCATATTAACAATAATTAACATTTTTAATAATAGACACTTTAATCTGTAGTGCACTTTAAACCTCCGCACGCCTCCTTGTTAAAGGCAGTCCATGGACAGTGTGCTGAGTTGAGGAGGCGTTTTCAGTGGAGTCGAGCGGTCACTTCATTCAGGAACCGCGAACTAAAGAGCTCAGTGTTTCGTTTAAAAAGCAGCCTGGTTAAAACTAAAAGACGTGGGTGCAGTTTATCTCTGGAATATTGTTTGCCAGTGCTCAGGGACATAAATATCACATGTATTGCTTTAAGCAGTGTCGCATGAGAGTGTGTTCCTCTCATGAGGGACTGTACACATAAAGCAAAGTCTGTTGAGGATGGTACATACTCTGAAGCCTCATTCATGAACAGGTCGGTATACATAAAATTTGAATAGGACTTAAATTATCTAATTTCTGAAATGTTTGATTCAATCAGTGGGTCGCATATTTGCCTTCCCACAAGATTCTTTCTATCATTAACTATGGCCTGAATGTCATATATTTATACTCTGGTATAATGTAACCCATTATAGAGCCACTAATTAGACATTTGAGAATAAGCCCTAGATTTACAAAATAAAATCAACCTCAAGTTTTTTTAAAAGTCAGCCGTAACGAGTGGAAAGTATCTCTAAAGTTTGTACTAGAGCAGCGTGGCCAAACCTAAGAAGTCACCAAATGATTAAAAGTCTATGAAAGAAAGAAAACAAAACATTTAGCTAAAGTTTTCTAAATTTATTTTCCGACAATATCAGTCCAAGAGGATATTAATGCATTCTGATAATGATTTCGCTACACATTAAGAGTTATAACTATCATCTACTAACCGTAGGCTCTTTTATGTTGGAATCACAATGTAGTGCAACCCAGGTGACAGGAGCTTCATTAAAAGAAACAGTAACATTTCACGGTGAAGGTTCACGTTCTTAGAAACGAACATGAGAAATCCCCCCCTAATAGTGACGTCCCAGCTCACCCCTCCAACAACAACAGACAGGATCAGTGCAATTAACTTTACTCTCTCCATTATTCCAAAAACTACAACGTTAGAAAACAGGCAAGTGCTGATTAGGCTGGTGCCATTTGTGCATGGCTGCATGTACAGCAGGTAGACATGTGCGCACGCACACACACACACACACTCAAAGCAGCACAAAGATGGAAAATTTGCAGATTTCATTTAAAATATTTGCAACACTGATGCTGAAACCCCTTTCCGAAGTCCAGTCCAGCTATAAATTCAACTCCACTAGCTCCACCAGTCTGAGTTCATTGGTCCCAGAGGCACATAAGCGTGGCTAAAATATCTTAAAACAGGACAGTTAGGAGCAGGGAAAAGAAAGGATTAGTTAAATATCTTCTATGTTATCAAATTCAAATAAAAACCTCAACTTAAGGGAAAGGGCTGCTCAAATACAGTAACTGCACTGAAAATCTGTCAAATCAGAAAAGGGAAAAAAAAAAAAAGAAAAAAGAAAGTCAGTCCTGCCATTTTTGGCCACAAAAACAAACTTCAGCTAAGCCAGTAGCCAAAAAAAAAAAAAAAGAATCCCCAGAGTTGAAGCAGTTGCCAGAAGCTGCAATTGTAGGAAGGACAAATATCAAACCTGGGTACAGTAGTCTAAGTAAATACTAATTTTCCTGAATGACTTAAATCTCAAATATATTAGTTTTACCACAGACGTACAAAGTGCCAAGAAGTTACTGCAACATGGCTAGGGTTTTTTCTCATAGTTAAATTTCTCATACAGAACAATTCTGTAAGTGTCAATTTTTTCCAGACTGTGTCACAAGGGAAAGGGGGAGAGGGGAATATTCTCAACTCAAAAATCAATCAAAAAAACTACTTTAAAGCTTATTTTTGGAGAAATACAGATTTGCCAGAATAACTTCTTTATTTTTTACATCCACTAGGTGTCGCCAAAGTGCGAAAATGTTCAAATCCTACAACTTTACTTGTTATGCGCCTGGAACCATCTCTCCGTAAAAGTAGCTAAATGCTCAGTTTCCGATTCAAATGTGACGCTGGCACACGCAAAACTACCGCTACTCACAGAGTAAAGTGCATGTGTGAAAGGGGCGTATCTTACATTAAATGCATGTGAAAATCAATATTAGCCATGTTCCAGTTAAAGACTCACATGACACCAACACTACTGATGCCCTGATGTAGTAAAACCTGCACATCCGGCAATGTACTGAGATCAAAACATCTGTCTGCAGCAGGTATTGTCACCCAGGTCTGAGAGGACTTGGAACAGAAAGAGAGGTGGTCAGTCACTACAATCATGGTCGCATTGTGCTCGTCTCCTTTTGTCTCTGAGTTTCTTCTGTTACCGGCACTAGGTCCCGCCTCCCTCGTCCTCTTGTTCCTCCATGTTTTTGCGCGCCATCCTCTCTCTCCGCTCTGCCAGCCGCTGACAGCGAGGACAGTCTTTACCCGTCCGGAAGCAGCCGCGATGGTAACACGCATGGCACTCTGAAATTGGGGGGGGAGACATCACAAAAACAAGGTTCAGTAATGCGACACTTCAAAGAGCGAGCGTGTCATCTCAGCAGAGGTAGATAACAGCTCCCATCTGCTAAACCAAACAATCCTGCAGTGTTTATGGAAATTAACCAGTTAAACCAGTTTGCTGACAGTGACGCGTGATGTTTCAACGGAACAGCCAATCACAATCAGACTTTGAGGGAGGCAGGGTGAGGAGTGGAGTATAAAAGACAGAAGTGAAAGGCAGCGAGGTAGACGGCGGGAGGAAGCAGGTATGTAAGGAAGCAGATATCCTAGGAAGCGCACACCACACCCTAAACCTGTTCAGACACATCCCATTCTTCCAAAAGAGGCCAAAAAGTGCTTTAAAACTCTTCAATGCCTTAACTTATCTGCTCCAACAGATATTTTACGACTACAATCCCTGATATTGTTTATGTGATTAAAAAAAAAATGTAATGTAAGACAGATAAAATGACAGGCAACTCAAATTCAAAAACAGTGTTTATTTCATATTTACATGAAGATGAAGCTTAAATAATAGCAGTGAGATGTAAAAGCAACTAAAAGCATAAATTAAACATTCATTCTGACATGTCAGTGAGTCACCTCGAAAATTACAAGACATCCTTCAACAAAATTCAAAATAAAAAAAAAGCAACATGGCTTCAAAACAATCACAGATGAGGCAGCGTAACAACAGGCGCCGTTTCCTCTAAGCTGGAGGAAGAGTTTAAATTTCAATGAAACACTACCTCTGACTCAGACAATGAACTACTCAGTAAAATCAGCTAAATTCGACTGGAGCAAAAACTGTCTCTTCCACTGGCTCAAGGGGAACATGTGTAACAGACAACTCTTACAAATGTCTAAACTGAAATGTAAATGTACTTTAATATCTCTGTGGCCAAGACAAAAGCAGTACAGAGCTCAGAGTCAAAGACAGGAAACTAAAAACCACTGAAGACCATTTCAGTATCAGTCAACACCTCTGGAATCAAAGCCATAGGCATCCACCACCAAACTGCAGCCAAATATCTACCCTCCACCACTTGTGCAACTGTGCTGAAAGCCAAACAGACACAAACACAGAGCCAAAGCCAAGAAACACCACTCTAGTGCGAAGAATGAGAAATGTTTCAAAACCAGCAGACGGTTGGAAATGTGAAAAGTTTGAATAAAGAGGTAAACAGAAATACAGAGGTAGGCCTGCACAATTCATTTGTTGTTGTTCTTACAACATTACAGAAAGCCATTTCTGCCGTGAGTAAGACGAGAAGATCGGTAACACTCATCTATCTGCAAAGCATGTAACCATAGTTCCCAAAATATTAAACTATTCTGTTAATGTAACTTAATAACTATGACACCTGTTTACTGGTTATTGTAAAAAAATATGACTGTTAAATCTGACAAAATATTCAGCAATGTGACTGTAGTTTGAATTGTGCAGCCGTACAGACCATAAACGCTGTTAAAATCATGTAAACTGAACTTTTCTTGATATGATTAGTGTAACTAATCAGTTAACTGTTATCAGTCATTAGTTTCTGGACAAATACAAGCTACTGTTTTATCCTCTGATCATGTTCACTAGGTCTTAGGGATTCCTTACCGTTTGCAGCTTGAAATACTGTTTCTCTTTAAATTGCTCTTACTTCCGCTCTCCGTCTTTCTCTACGTCATCTATCTCAGCACTCTCTCCGCCCTCTGCCCCTTCCCTGATCTTCCTGCCTCTGGTTACCCTCCTTGCTTTGCGAGTTTTACGACCTCTCCAGGTAGTCTGGGTATTGATGGCTGGCTGTTCCTCGTCAGTATCCATCTCTCTTTTGCCATCACTCTCCCCACTTCTATCCTCCTCCCCTTCCCCCCCGCTCCTCTCTCTGGACAAAACAGCTGATAGCTGACGAGGTTTAAACAATTTCCCAAGTGTAAATTTCTCCACGTTTTCTGCACCAGGTTTTTCAGTTTCAGCTGTTTGGTCTTTTTCTGAAATGTCATCATTCTCCCCGACCTCCCAACTGGCTCTTCCTTTCTGCTTAGTTCCCGTGACTTTCCCCAAACATATTTTTTCTTCCTCTTTCACTTCTGTTGTTGCTTCGTCCTCTATTTCTATTTTTGAGAAACCCTTGGTAAGACTTGCGAATCCTGACATCTTCCAACGTCCTTTCCTCTCTTGTCCTACTTCATCTAGACTTTCCAAGCTGCTGCATGTTTCACTGTCACTTCTGTCTCCTTTGGAGATGCTCTTCTTTAGTCTATCTATGTGAAGAACCTTTAATAAGTTCATCTTTTCCCTTTTTGCAGGACCATCTCCCTTTTCCTTACTCTTTGCCCTATATACCTCCCCGTGTCGGCCATTTCCTCTCTCTTCCCCTCTTTTATCGCACTTTGTCTCGTCTCTCTCTGGTTCTGTCCCCCTTATCATCTCCTGCTCTTCCTCATTGCTTTTATTCCAAGAGAAAGCTTTCACCAGTTTTCCAGGAGCGAAAGCTTGAAATAACCCCCCTCTTCCCTGTCTCTTTTCTGCTGTGTCAGCCCTTTCCTTTGCCCCTCCATTCACATCTAGCTGTATATCCTCCTCCCCTCCCTCCCCCTCTCTCCTGTCTTTGGAGAGGGCCTTTGCCAGCCTACGAGCTTTGGGGATATTCCAGTCCCTCCAGGTAAGTGGAATGGAGAGGTGGGGGGAGGGGGCTCTCGAGCCGCCCAGGCCTGCCACAAGTAGAGAGGGCTCACCTTCGCAGCGCTGGCACTTGTTAAGCTGGAAGGGGAAGATGATGTCTTTTTCGTTGCCGCAGAACTCGCACACAAAACCCTTTGCCTGGCACAGCTGGGGGAGATCGAGGCCAAAGTGAGAGAAAAAAAAAACAGCTGTAAATCTCCGGTTATTTGCTGACATTACAACAGTTCATGATACGTTAGGATAACCCACTTCCTACTTCTTGTTTTAGTGTGTTTTATCACTGCAATAGACTAACTGGATAAGCTCTCCATGATAAGAGTGGTTATCTTACCACACAGCCAGCTGCGTGCGTGGTACCAAGTTTAAGCAGCTCTTTCATTCGGGGAGCCAGATCACCGTTGCGCACAGCGGTGAGGTCATTGAGGGAAAAGAGGTGAAGGTCCTCTGTCAGGTGACCTGGTAGGCTGTCGAACCGGTCCAGCACCCTGAGGGGCACACACACAAACACACACAC